TAATCACTAATGTGAACAAAACTTCTATATTTCAATTAGTCATCTTCACCCATCTGATCTGAGGTACGTGCAAGGAAATAATAAAGGTGGCATGGTGGCTCAGTGGTTATCACTGCTGCCTCACAGCGCCAGGGACCTAGGTTCAATTCAAACCTCAGGCGACTGTGGTGTTTGCGTGTTCTCCCCATGTCTGCGTGGGTTTCCGCCGGGTGCTCCAGTTTCCTCCCACAGTCCAAAAACGTGCAAGTCAGATGGATTGGCCATGCTAAATTGCCCAAAGTGTTCAGGGATGTGTAGGTTAGATGCATTAGCCACGGGAATTACAGGGATAGGGTAGGGGAATGGGTCTGGGTGGGATGCTGTTCGGAGGGTCTGTATGGACTTGTTGGGCTGAATGGCCTGTTTCCACACTCTGGGGATTCTGTGATCAATAGATGAGAATCTGTGCTGTATTCCTTTACAGTAATATGAAACTTGTATGACTGTACTGCTATTTTCCAATGTTGCAGTATTCATATAATAGATCAGTAAAAGTTCACTTGGGAATTCCCCAAATAATTGACTGGCAAGGGCATTGGACAGCTGAACTCTGCAGATCATGAAGAACCCAGGTACAGCTCTTTGTCAATGCTACATAAGTTGCCTACAGTGTGTACAATCTATACAACGTACTGATGTGCCTTCTTCAACAAGACTTCCAAAACTTACAACCTCCACTGCCAAAAAGGGCTTGGGCAGCAGATGAAGATAATGTTACTTCCTTACAACGGAGAAAATTAAGAAGAGATTTGACAGAGGTGTTGAAAATCTGGGATGGTCTTGATAGTGAAAAGAAAGAGAAAGTATTTCTCATGCCAAATGTAACAGTGGTCAGAGATTTAAGGTGATTGGTAAAAGATCCCGAGACAAAATGAGGAAACATGCTTTTCAACACAATGAGTTGTTGTGATCTGGAATGTGCTGTGTGAAAGAATGATGGGGTCAAATTCATGAGTAAATTTACAAAGGGAATCACATCAATACCAAGGGAAAATAATGTTAGGTCTATGAGGTAAGACCATAGGCTCAGCTGAATAAGTATACCAAAGAGCTAGCATGAGACATGATATATCATTGTTTCTTCTGTTCCTTAACCTTTCTTCACTGGCTCACATTTATAGATTTCCCTGCAGGTTAAGCAAGCCTCTACCCCACTCCACCTCCAGCCCAACTTCTCAAAAGCAAATAGGAATTTGCCATAACTGAGACATTGCCAGTGCTGGCTCCTTCCTGTGAATGATTTCAAAAAGTTGACTTTAGCCCAATGGCATTTCTACTACAGTTGGCATAATGTTTCTGACTAAGGAAGAGGGAAAAAATGGATATTGTTTCTATTCCTGATCGTTATTCCTGATTGAAATTGTGTGACAGGGTAGGATTAGCCACAGTGGTAATACCCTTGCATCAAATTAACATACTGCCAACACTCATGCGTAGGCTCTCACATGAAGAATGGCAAATTGGAGCGATATTAGAAAGAGTCCGGTGCTGTGGACATGTTCTACACTAAGAATCATCACCTTCAGGTGAGGAGAGAAGAAATTGGGAAGCACATTTACATCAAAACAAGTTTGAGAAATCAGTTAGAGATGGTAAGAACTGCCGATGCTGGAGTCAGAGATAACACTGTGTGGAGCTGGAGGAACACAGCAGGCCAGGCAACATCAGAGGAGCAGGAAAGTTGACGTTTCAGGTCGGGACCCTTCTTCAGAAATGCATTTCTGCAGTATTTCTGAAGAAGGGTCCCGACCCGAAACGTCAAATTTCCTGCTCCTCTGATGCTGCCTAGCCTGCTGTGTTCCTCCAGCTCCTCATTATGTTATCTCTGAGAAATCAGTTAAATGTTCTTCTTTGTACAAATCCTCTCTTGGTATTTATTTAGTTACTAGAAAAAGCAGAATTGAAAATGTTACTTTAAAATTTTGGTCACCTGAGGCAATTTCTTTGCGTGCATAATTAAACTAATTAACTCTGTAAAACTGGATGTAAAACAAGCTTGACCTCACCTAGGAAAAAGCTGTTCCCTGGTCAGCACCTAGTGCATTATTTTAAACAGTTAGGTCCTCCAGCACGACATGGTTTCAGTATTTTCACTAACATAATGCACTGCGAGAACTCACCAAGGCATCTTTACAGAAGTTCCCAAACCCAGGACCTCTACCAGAAGGTGAACACCTACAAGTGTAGGGAAGGCAATGGCCTAGTGGCATTATCACTGGACTGTTAATCCAGAGACCCGGATAACATTCTAGGGACCCAGGTTCGAATCCTGCCACGGCAGATGGTAGAATTTGAATTCAATATAATATCTAGAATTAAGAGTCTAATAATGACTGTGAATTCATTGCTATTGTCGGAAAAGCCCATCTGGTTCACTAATGTCCTTTAGGAAAGGAAACTGCCATCCTTACCTGGTCTGGCCTACATGTGACTCCAGACCCACAGCAATGTGGTTGACTCTGAACTGCCCTCTGGGCAATTAGGGATGGGCAATAAATGCTGCCTAGCCAGCGATGCCCTCATCCTGTGAATGAATAAAGAAAACAAAAAGTTGCCCTCCAATGAATAACCATTTAAACTTAGAAATGCTACAACTGTTACTTGCCACTTATCAGCCCAAGCCTGAATATTGCCCAGGTCTTACTGCACATGGACACAGATTGCTTATTATCTGAGGTGTTGTGAATGATGCTGAACATTGTGCAATCATCAACAAATGTCTCCACTTCTAATCTAATGATGGTGGGAAGGTCATTGATCAGTTAGCTTAAGATGATGGCATCACGACCACCTGCAAGTTCCTCTCCAAGCCTCTCACCATCCTGACTTAGAAATATATTGCCATTCCTTCACTGTTAATATCCTGAAATTTCCTTCCTAACGGCATCGTGGGTCTACCTATACCAAATGGACCACAGCACTTCAAGAATGCAGTCGGCTACCCATTTCAAGAGCAACTAAGGATGGCAATAAATACCTGCCATCTAGTGATGCTCACTTCCCCTGAATGAATGCAAAGGTGCTGAGGATGGTTGAATCTAGGAACTGTTCTGAGGAAGACTTGCAGTGATGTCCTGGGACTAGGATGATTGACATCCACAACCACAAGTATCTTCCTCTGTTAGAAAGAACTCCAGCCGATGCAGAGTTTTAACATGGATTCCATTGACTCTGGTTTTGCCAAGCCCAAACCCCTCCAACCCCCAACACCCCCAACCCACAAAGCCAGACTTGATCAAATATCACTTTGCTTTCAAGGGAAGTTGTTCTTAGTTCTGGAGTTCAGATCTTTTGTTCGTGCTTGGACTAAGGCTATAATGAGGTAAGGAGCTGAATGGCCCTGGCAGAACGCAGACTGAGCATCAGTGAACAGGTTATTGCTGAGCAAGTACTGTTTAACAGCAATGTTGATGACCCCTTTTGTCACTTTGCTGATGATTGAGAGTGGGTTGGGTTTATCACATGGAGTGAACTGTATCATCTGAAGGTTGGCACCTGTGATGTTGGGGACCTTGGGGGAACCTGAGAAGGATCATCACTCGCACTTATGGCTGAAAATGGATGTAAGCGCTTCAGCCTTGTCATTTACACTGATGTGTTGGGTATCCATATCATTGAGGATCGATATATTTATGGAGCCCCCTCCTCCTGCTGGTTGTTTAATTATCCATTACCAATCACGATTGGATGTGATGGGACTGAGAAAGGTAGGACAAAGGTGAGTCAGTGAATCACTGTTTGTAAGAGGAATGCGCTAAAATGATTGTCATCCACCAACCACAAGCATCTTCCTCTGTACGAGAAATAACTCCAGCCAATGCAGAGTTTTAACCTGGAATCCCATTGACTCAGATTTTGCCAAGGCATCTTGATGCCACACTTGGTTAAATGCCATCTTGATCTCAACGGCAGTTACTCTTATCTCTGGAGTTTAGATCTTTTGTCCATGTTTGGACCAAGGCTATAATGAGGTAAGGAGCTGAACAGCAATGTACTGGAAAGGTAAAGATAATCAAGAGAAGCTAAAAATATCAAAAACAAACAGGACACACTGCAAGCGAAAGACACAGGAGTGATTAAATTGGTGAAAAGGACGTTGATGCGGACGTTCACAATGAATCGCAGCAGTCACATCATAAACATGTAAAAACAAACTAAATTTCATGTTTCACCGGACAACATGCAAGTTTTGCATGAGTGTTGGTGTATAACAGGGGCTGGCGACAAATGGGAAATCACGTGATATGCAAAGTTGCGAGAGAAACAATATCTTCAGAGAAAAAAACAGTTTGAAAATGAAGATGAACTTTTGAAAAAAGGAGGCACGTGATCAAAATCCCAAGTTCATAATGAATACGAGCACTGCATCATCTCCTATTCTCAGTCAATGTGTACAAACACTGCACCATCTCTCACTCTCAATGTGTACAAACACCACATCATCTCCCACTCTCTGTCAATGTAGACAAACACTGCATCATCTATTCTTAGTCAATATTTTCAAATGGAGAGAGAACACCACAAAAGGTTCTTGAAGGGAATATTTTTCTCTTCCTCTGTGTCCTTTAATGTAGAGGAAGCGAGCCAACCAGAGCAGGAATATCGCCCAACTTTCCCCTTGACTTCCTAAAAATATAATCAGCCGTGGGTCTAGCCTCTTCACCTGGCTTGTCAATTAAATTAAATGAATTTTTAAAGAACAGGTTATACTGAAGGGAGACAGGCGGAGATACATGGAAATAGGCAAGGGTAGCAAACAGGAGACAGAGACAGCACATTAAGCGGGAGAGAAGTGGATGGAGAGATGATAGAAACCGGTTTCTTAGATATTGCTCAGAATGAAACTGTGGTTTGTGTATCTCGGTGACAGAGAGCGCTCGCGAGTATTTCTTAACAACAGAATAAGACACTAATCTTCACTGCTAGAGAGAGAGGGAGAGAATACACGGGTGGGACTGAGGGGCAGAAAGAGCTTTGGAGAGAGACTGAACTCTGCAGCATAGAAACTGAGCAATAATCCAGCGCTGACACTGGCCAGAAAAGGCGCCGCCAGCGAGACCTGCGCCAGAAACGGGCACAAGGAAACTGCAAATGTAAGTTTCGTGGGAATACAAGGGACGGCCGGGGAGAGGTGGATTTCATAAAAGCTGAATAAAAATAGAAGCAGGGCGACAGAGGAATGGTGAATCTGGAACACGGTGCCGGCGAGGAAGGGGGAGAAGTTTATTAGCGATTGCAGCCTCGAGTACCATGCGAGACAACTGGGAGCCAGCATGAGGATGGACGAGACACCGAGAGGTGTTTAAACAGGGGAACGGTGGGGCAGCGATCCGCTAGACAGACAGCGATCAGAGCAAAATAAACCAGGCAAATGGAAGTGTAGCACGATCGGAATCGCTGCTGATTCAGACGGAATCAAAACAGAAACGAAAATAGAAGGTGCCTAGTAAAGAGGAAGCAGGGGAGAGGCGACTAAAATGACTTGAACGGCAGTGGGTTGCAGCCGTACAAGACTGAACTGCTAAAACCACTATTTTGTAACAACAACATAATCAGGTGGAGCCAGGCAAAGCGGAAAAGTCACAGAATCAACTCGGGGGGAAAGCGGTGTAAATGAGGAACGTGCGTGTGAGGAGGCACTGAAGTCAGCTCAGTACCTTGGAGGATCTGAGGGAACGGGGAATAGTCTCGAGTCCTTCTCCCTGAGTTGTTGCAGGGCCGGGAGGAAAGCACTTACAGCCGTTTCTCCCAGCTCCAGCCCGTACCGGCAGCGTTACGGCCATATCTAATGAGGTGAAACTTCATTCCCGTGAGCCCTGTCTCTCCTGAGGATCTGCTGGAGCCGTCCCCGTCATTCCCGGGGGTGAATTGCTCGCTGTCTGTTGGTGCCCGTTACATTGAAGTCAGCTTTCACTCTCCTTTCACGGGCGATGGATCCTCCTTCTTGCTCCAAGAAGAGCCTGTCCCTGTCCCTGCCCGTCCCCAGAGAGGGGCAGAACACTCTGAAACCCCCGCAGCACCTGTGGAGGCAACCCCGAACCCCTATCAAAATCAAACACCGCGGCTACTCGGACACAGACCGGCATGTACACCGCCAGATGGAACGGTCTAACGCCGTGGATACAAGTGACAGACCCGGGCTGAATAAATCCCGCATGTCCTGGCCATCGTCCTTTCAAGGAACTCCCAGACGGTAGGAAAGGACTTAATCTAACTACACAGTAAACAAGGAATTCAATACAGAGCCCAGTGTCCAGCTGGCGCTCATTCCGTTCGTACAGCTAACTTCTACACTCACTCCAATTGAGAGCTGCGAGTGATCCCAAGTGGTTGATATTAATGAATCCCCCATTTCCTTGTCTAGGATTGTGAGAGTGACTGAGGACTGTCTCAGTATTAGTCATTTTCTCAGCAAATTTATGTATATTTAAAGTTTTTCAAAGTCCTTTTTAGAAAAAAAATGCTACATACAATGTTAGGTCTTGCATAGACCCTGAGTATTGAAGGTTATGTCTGTCCATTGGGGGCAGTGCCTGGGGAAGTTGGCAAGTGCAGAGTGATAGCCCTGTCTGTGCAATGGGGTGTATCGGAAACTGTCTACACAGGGACTGTCTGTCTAATGTGGGAGCTGTTTAGCAACAGGGGCAATGTCTGTAGTGAGAGTGCAGTGTCAGGAGACTTGTAGTTATTTTTACTTCTTATTTATGCATGTGCTTTGTAGATGTTTAAACATGAAAATGCCATTGCGTCACTTGTATGAACTGCCACAGGATCCCACTTACAGGGGGACAATTGTCTTCAGAACACACATGTACCAAATCAACATACCACTCCTTGTATGTTTTAAAATTGTTCATTTCAGGGTTCTTTTTCCTATGACAACAAGGTGCAGAGCTGGATGAACACAGCAGCCCCAGCAGCATCATAGGAGCAGAAAGGCTGACGTTTCGGGCCTAGACCCTTCATCAGAAATGGGGGAGGGGAAGGGGGTTCTGAAATAAATAGGGAGAGAGGAGGAGACGGATAGAAGATGGATAGAGGAGAGGATAGGTGGAGAGGAAACAGACAGGTCGAAGAGGCAGGGATGGAGCCAGTAAAGGTGAGTGTAGGTGGGGAGTTGGGGAGGGGATAGGTCAGTCCAGGGAGGACGGACAGGTCAAGGGGGCGGGATGAGGTTAGTAGGTAGGAGATGGGGGTGCGGCTTGAGGTGGGAGGAGGGGATAGGTGGGAGGAAGAGCAGGGTAGGGAGGCTGGACGAGCTGGGCTGGTTTTGGGATGCGGTAGCGGGGGGGGAGATTTTGAAGCTTGTGAAATCCACATTGATACCATTGGGCTGCAGGGTTCCCAAGCGGAATATGAGTTGCTGTTCCTGCAACCTTCGGGTGGCATCGTTGTGGCACTGCAGGAGGCCCATGTCGTCTGAGGAATGGGAGGGGGAGTTGAAACGGTTCGCGTCTGGGAGGTGCAGTTGTTTATTGCGAACCGAGCGTAGGTGTTCTGCAAAGCGGTCCCCGAGCCTCCGCTTGGTTTCCCCGATGTAGAGGAGGCCACAACGGGTACAGCGGATGCAGTATACCACATTGGCAGATGTGCAGGTGAACATCTGCTTGATGTGGAAAGTCTTCTTGGGGCCTGGGATGGGGGTGAGGGAGGAGGTATGGGGGCAGATGTAGCACTTCCTGCAGAGAAAAGTGCTGGGTGTGGTGGGGCTGGAGGGGAGTGTGGAGCAGACAAAGGAGTCACGGAGAGAGTGGTCCCTCCGGAACGCAGATAAGGGTGGGGAGGGAAAGATGTCTTTGGTGGTGGGGTTGGATTGCAGATGGCGGAAGTGTCGGACGATGATGCGTTGGATCCGGAGGTTGGTGGGGTGGTACGTGAGGACGAGGGGGGATTCTTTTTTGGTTCTTATTGCGGGGACGGGGTGTGAGGGATGAGTTGCGGGAAATGTGGGAGACATGGTTGAGGGCGTTCTCGACCACTGAGGGGGGGAAGTTGCGGTCCTTGAAAACCGAGGACAACTGAGATGTACGGGAGTGGAATGCCTCATCCTGGGAGCAGATGCGGCAGAGGCGAAGGAATTGGGAATAGGGGATGGCATTTTTGCAGGAAGGTGGGTGGGAGGAGGTGTATTCTAGGTAGCAGTGGGAGTCGGTGGGCTTGAAATGGATATCGGTTTCTAGGCAGTTGCTCGAGATGGAGAGAGAGGTATTAGAGATGGTCCAGGTGAACTTAAGGTTGGAGTGGAAGGTGTTGGTGAAGTGGATGAACTGTTCAAGCTCCTCGTGGGAGCACGAGGCGGCGCCGATACAGTCATCAATGTAACGGAGGAAGAGGTGGGGTTTAGGGCCAGTGTAGGTACGGAAGAGGGATTGTTCCACGTAACTTATGAAGAGGCAGGCGTAGCTTGGGCCCATGCGGGTACCCATGGCGATCCCCTTTGTCTGTAGGAAGTGGGAGGAATTGAAAGAGAAGTTGTTGAGGGTGAGGACGAGTTCGGCTAAGCGGATGAGGGTGTCAGTGGAGGGGGACTGGTCGGGCCTGCGGGACAGGAAGAAGCGGAGGGCCTTTAGGCCATCTGTATGGGGAATGCAGGTGTATAGGGACTGGACGTCCATGGTAAAGATGAGGTGTTGGGGACCGGGGAATTGGAAGTTCTGGAGGAGGTGGAGGGCGTGGGTGGTGTCACAGACATAGGTAGGGAGTTCCTGGACCAAGGAACAAGTTCCTTGACAAGCTTCAAAGTCTACCCTCCCCCTACCGCATCCCAAAACCAGCCCAGCTCGTCCCCGCCTCCCTAACCTGCTCTTCCTCCCACCTATCCCCACATCCCACCTCAAGTCCCACCCCCAGTCCCACCCCCATCTCCTACCTACTAACCTCATCCCGCCCCCTTGACCTGTCCGTCCTCCCTGGACTGACCTATCCCCTCCCTAACTCCCCACCTACACTCACCTTTACTGGCTCCATCCCTGCCTCTTCGACCTGTCTGTTTCCTCTCCACCTATCCTCTCCTCTATCCATCTTCTATCCGCCTCCCCCTCTCTCCCTATTTATTTCAGAACCCCCTTTGCCTCCCCCACTTCTGATGAAGGGTCTAGGCCCGAAACGTCAGCCTTTCTGCTCCTATGATGCTGCTTGGCCTGCTGTGTTCTGCACCTTGTTGTCTCAGATTCTCCAGCATCTGCAGTTCCTACTAGCTCTGATTCTTTTTCCTATTGTTTTGTTTCCTCTCCTCAAAATGCCGTCTTATGCCCTGGTGGAGGATACCTCTGCTATCAGATCGCAAGTGCCCATTCTTTACTTGTGAAGAAAGGCAGTAGTGTTGTTATCAATTCCCTGACTTTAGCTCCTATCGATGCACTTGCTATTCCAAGAGGGGCTAAATTTTCTCTGTGTAACTCATGCCTTCAAGGCTAATTGTGACTGAGATCAGCATACAGTCAGAATCAAGCTGGAACCTCTAGTCCATCCAGCTCTGGTATATAATGCCATGATCAAATCACCCATTGCAGAAGTTGGGAGTGTTTTTAGTGCATCTTTCTGATTGACAGGCAGTTGTCATAATTGTATTTAAAAACTTGAATAACTATATATTCATCCTTTCTCGTTAAAAGTCCAAATCAATAAAGCCTTTAGGGTTTCCAGCATTAATGTATCAGAACCCAGTGATGTGATGGGACGAATATGTCAGCCAGTTCTACACCAGCCACTAGGGTTTGGAGATTTGTCAACTTAAGTCTCAATATTTTTGACCTAGTTTTTTTTTCCTCATGAACTGACATTTATAATTTCCAAAATGAAGTCTTAAATAAGTCTTAAGATCAATCACATTGTTCAATTTATCATTGAATTGTCTTTTGTTATTTTATTATTTTGTTCAAGTTTTCGTTAAAGGCATCAGCCTAGGCTTTGCTTGGATTTTTAATGTCTCAGTTCCAACATTTGAGAACGGTTTCAATCACAACTATACCTCCTGAAACTGAGATGAATGGTAAATGGAGAGTACCCACATGCTGTGAGCATTTGGCATTTTCTTCGCTAATAGCAAGCTTCAAAGGATGGGAGATTGAGTCATGGAAATTTGTCCAAGAAAGATATATTAACATAAAGATATGACCAGTTTTGCTCTTCTGTTATGGATTCCTCTTAGAAAAAACTGAAGCAAGATGTGAACATAAACAGCTATTATTGTGTGAGAATTTCCAGCACTGGCAAAACATCAGCTGTAGCAGCTTTTATTAGTGATTATTAAAGAAAACATACAGTTTACAGAGAATTTTTTTTAGTCAATCATTAGTTTTAATTATTTAGGTAAAGAACCTCTCCTGAATTGTTTTGGAGTCTTTTTTTTAAAATCTGGATAAAGCATATTCATAATGACCTTTGAGTATTTGATGGAATAATTTTTGTTCCTTTTTAAAGACTTGGCTGTCACATGCATGAAGGTTATGTGAAGAAATTATCCACATCAGATTGTTTGCTTATTATTTTTACAAAGCATAAATATTAATTGGTCAAAGGAAAATTCAGAACGAGCTGAAGATGGGGAAATTGATGGAAAGATATGGTATTTGGGAATGCATAAACATGGAATCTGGTAGTTTGACAGATCCCATAGTGGCTTGAGTTCCATTCTCCTGGGTCCCCTTTCCAGTATAGACTTCCCTGAAGGCCATCAGTTTCTAGCAGGGTCCAATAATGGATCTGAGCAACTTCTCCCTTAGATTTTCTCACTTCCCTAACTTCTCCCTCCTCTGGCTCTGCAGCATCCCCACTCACCAGTATCCACAAATCGCAAAACTGCATTACGAGTGCATTATAAAACTCCAACCCACTGTATCTGTTACTGAGAGAGAACAGCATTTCACACGTGCTGTTTTAAAATCCTAAACTCATGCTATTAAACAGCTGGTATTTCTTTTTCCAGATCTGTATGTTCTGCATGTGCTCCAGGAGATACTTTATTAGAAGGGTACTTAATACTGCAATTATTTTCTTTCTGTGATGCTTTAACTAGCAATACCAAAAAAAAATGTTGTGAACATGGTGCTATAGATCATTTTACTGGTATTATTTACATCCTAGTAAGTTAATAATGTTAAAGGAACATTATTCTCACCTGAAACAATTATTATTAGCACACCCCCTCTCAGTTTTTCATCTTCTGACTTGGAGCCACCATTGGTTTTCATG